ATATCCTCCGCCACCATAACATGAGTAATATCCCTGATGAATGAAATCACTCAGTTCTTCTGCAGTGGAATAAGTCCACCTGTAGTCAGAAACAGTAAATAAGTCTGCTTCTTTTAATTCCGATACACAAATACAGAAATATTAATTCTGATTATGTACATCTCTGTTTAGGAGTTATTCAAGAATGTAAGAAATCAAGGTTCATCGTTGAAAATGGATGAACCTCCAGTTAGTATAAATTTTGCCATCTGATACATGCATTTGAGGTGGCAGGAAGGTGAAACTATAATTCTCTTGTACATAACCGGGTTACTGCTTTAAATGTTTGTCTGCAAGCTTCAGCATTTTTGTTTGGATTGACAACATAATACACATACACACACTAGAGTATTACTTTCTTCAAAAAGTCCTGAAAGAAATTAGAAAACTGTGTTGCACGGCATGGACATTGAGCGACCATCTTGTAAAATAAACCAAATTTGCCATATCTTTCATATCTATATAGATAAGGGGAATATTTTTATTAATATCAAAAATGGGATCTGCTAAAACTGTTAATTGAAAACTTACGCTGTTCCATTTCCTGGCCCAAATGGTTTTGTATCTTCGTACGCACGTGAATATGGTTCATAACATAGTTCGATTGATCGATTTAATGATTGACGTACCACGCACGAATCATTTCTCACTCTCACCTGTAGACAATAAAGTTCTATTTGCATTCTAGTTACTCCAATACACACAAAAGTCCTATTCCTTAGTAACGGGACACCTATTGATTGGACATGCTGAATGATGAAACAGTTCATATGAACGTATCTTGTCATTACTGAATTCACTATAAAGTTTTTATATTCACAATGAAAATATTCAGATTAACTTATGAATCATAAATCATTTGTTATCAAAAGAATGCTAAATTTACTTCACTGAAAATATTATGTAACAAAGGAAAATGTACAAACCTGTCGTAGGCGTGGTACTCCAACCAGCTTATTATTATATTGTAACACAAATGTTTGATGTGTATCATTTTCGGATTTCCCGTAAATACCGTCGATCATTACAGTTTCTGCTAACTGAAAACAAAATTAGTTAATCACTTATAAACACAGTGATCGTAAATTATATAACGACTGTACAGAGCAGTGCATTCTGAAACCATTATCTAAATATGAACTGCCTGCTTCCAGGACACTTTTTAATACTGTTCTTTTATATATGCCAATGTTTTCCAAGTGGGCTTTTTCCTTGAGTTTTTCAATCAAAATTATGAACATGTTTCTTGAACATTATCTTTCCTATCCATTTCATCTCTCGTGGTTTTCCCGTGTAAATTGTGCTGGGTGGTTAATAGTACAAATTTTCAATCCCTAATAAAATGTGCTATTTATTTCATCTTGAATATAGACAGAAGTTGTGAATGTTTACAATAATATGCCACAGAGAGTTAACCGTCATGTCGTCTTTTGAAAACCTGAAGATTAAAATTTATAGAGCTATGTTTTTGCAGCAAGATAGAAGAAATATTATGACAATGGGGAGTATTGCATAATGCTGTCAGGGGGGTTAAATCTGGAAAATTCAGATTGGCAGGCCATACAAAAATTATGCAGACAGATGGAATTCATACAAAATTTTATTTCTAAGACTTGGTAGAAAGAGACCATTTGGGTACATCAGGTCGGATTTGGTTGTATGGACACTGACTTTAAAGTGATATTAATTAACCTTCTGGTACCATAATAGAAAATTTCTTGTATAGTTGGATAACTTTTTTATAGTAATAATGTCGACTGCTTAATAACTTAATTAGCAAATGAGTTTCTTAAATCACTTCATTATCTCTGCATAACAGCATTTATGTATGTCCCAATCGCATATTTATCTTAAATTCATACCTTCCAGAACTGACTTATGCTTGATATGTTATAGAAGTTTCTTTCTTCAGTACCATCTTGAAAATTAGTGTTCACAATCGAATCACAAACATGATTTTTGCACCAATACCACATGTTGGGTGAATTCCCCAATGTTCCTGAAAATTAAGAGGAACCTGTTATTTAAAAAAATAACAATTTTTATATAAGTTTATATAAAACTATAACTTTCTCAATTTTTTTTCAGTTGAAATACATGCACTGAATTTTCATAATTCCGGGCTGTGGCATGAACAAACGTTTACCAGAAATGCACATTTCCCAAAGAAGGCTTATAGAAAATGGTGTAAAATACGGAACTCGTGAAGATTTATAAATTTCATTTGGGAAATTGTTTGTCTTATGTAATTTAGAAAAAAAACACTGTGTTCCCTATAGATTCAACATCTGAACTATTAATTAGCTTCGACAATACAATTTATGATTCTGTATCATGAAGTATTGAGCCACTGTTTAGCTAAACAAGAGTTGATATGTATCTTTATTAAATGAATATCAAGATGAGTGAACATTTCAAATCACAGAAAATTTGTTTGAATGTGTAGGTATTCCAATATTTGAAACCAGGGGAGAAGACGACATAGTCTGGAGAAAACTAACAATTTTGTAAACCACCCCCAATATTGTCAGGGTGACTACGTCGAGAAGAATGATATAGGCGGGACATGTGGCACACATTGTTGGGACATGAGGTGTGCACCGGGTATTGGTTGGGAAGCCTGAGGGGAAGAGACCTCTGGGGAGACCTAGACGTAGATGGGAGGTTAATGTCAGGCGGGATCTACGGGAGATAGGAGTTAAAGAAGACTAGATTTTATTGGCCAATGACAAGGGTCCAGTAGAGTGATTTGGTTAACACAGTGATGAACCTTCGTGTTTGATAAACTATATAGTTAGTTAGTTAGTTAGTTAGTTAGTTACATTATCGAAATTTGACTACGGTTTTCCTTTCCTGTTGAATACAGACTCTGCTAAACCAGCAGCACTCAAAAAATGTTAATGTTGCGTGATGATTGTAGGTAAATGTTCCTATTTGTACATAATAATAAAAATATTAAAATATGACTTGTCAGTACAAGTACTCTGTTTTATTAAACCCTCTTGGCTGCAGTACCCTGTCTGAGTATCAGTTACACTGTACTCCTGGTAAAATTGTAAGTCAAAGTTTACATACCTATTGTCACTATGAAAAGGAAGATTAAGCACTGGATGAGATCAACGTGGTTGTATATGTTCCCTTTCTTCTAATTTTTTATATATACAAATAAATTCTGCTTCATTTCTAAAACACAAATGACGTTATGAGTACTGAGAAATCTTATGGTCACATTTATTGGGCCTTATGTACTGTATTTGATAAACATCTAAAAGTCATGCCTTGATTTCATTTGTTTTTGGCATTTGGTGTTAGAAAAACTTTTGTTCTTGAGGTACCATATTAATCAGGGCTATGGAGTCAGAACTACACCCTCCGACTCCTTCATAAAAGCTAAAATTTGTTAGTAATGGTAAACCTACTAAAATTGTAAATTGTACCATAAGATATTTCATCACCACCACGTGAATCATCAGGCTACTTTTAGATTTAAGTCTTAAATTTAAATATACGTCTAATGGTTATTGCAGAAATCGGTTGTTTTCTAGACAGTTTTTATTCTTACGGTACACGAGCCAAAGTTACAAAGCATTATTCCCACACCACGTGCTTTAACGCGTCGTTGAATCTCCCTGAATACAAAGAATTTTCAACAATAAGCAATTGCAAATTAACTTACCTTTCAAATAATCCTTTAGTCTTTTATAAGAAGATTCTGATGAGTGGCCTTCTGTACTAACAGTGTCTGGCGGGTTGCTTCCTTGGTCAACTGGAGAGTTCATTTGACATATAATTAGTGCAGAAAAACGCTCCATACCGTGAAATTGAATGTCTTCAGCTGCAGGTTCTTGATCTTTCACATTATAATTCGTTGTACTCGCAGTCATTTTTCTATTAATCTAGACTTTGCACGTCTATGCTTCTTCTGACTGCAACAAAACAAATATTTGTCGTTTATTTATTATGCCTAGCAACGGGTCGCATTTTCAACAATGGGCAAGACCAACAATACGAGTT